GAGAGAGAGAGAGAGAGAGAGAGAGAGAGAGTGTATGTCTTTACATATGCAGTTCTGCCTTGAACAGATTTTGGCTAAACCATTTCAGGCTGAAGGTATTCTTTCAAACTTGAGTTTAGACCTGACAAACAGCTTCACAGACAAAGGCTAAGTGAAGTCTGGCTGTTCTCCAAGAATATAAAAACACGATCCTTCAGTTTATTTGCCTAAAAATATGTTCCCATCAACACAACTGAGGAGAACAGCATTGAGTCCTCAGAAGACAGCAAGGCAATGATGAGGAATGTTCAGTAGCGGACGGAGATTTTGTCCTTCACATAGAATCAACAATTAATTAGCTGACATTTTCTTCTGAAGCAAACTTTTCTTTATAATTTTTTTAAAATTAACTTACAGAGAGGCCTTCCCTGGTCATTTTGAGTTCACTAGTGAAAAATTCAAAGTGATCTTGCTTTTAGGTCTATCGCGGAGTTGAGGATGGTTGCCCAGCTATGGCAGGTGCGCACTATTATAGAATGGGAGGAATGGAGTGTTTGGCACGCCCCTCGATCCCGGCAGTTGATAAGGGAGGGCATCTATTTGATTCTAACAAGGCTGCCCACCCTCCCGTAGGTGGGAATCCAGTGCTGCTCTCAACCTGGCTGAAAGGACTGCTGAGCCCCAGATAACCCCCTTAGACCCTGGAGCTCAAGACCGGTGCTTCTTCAACTCGTGTTTTGGACTCTTTGGCGGTGTGGTGAAGCCCTTGGACCCCATTTCAGACCCTCCAGAACTATAGGATCATATAGGTGATCAACTATAATCAAACACAGTTCAGAGTCAATATTCTCATTATGTAAAATCCTCCATGACATGTAACCTCAGTGTCCATTTCATTAGAATCCACCACAATCCAAACATCATGCTTAGGTTTATGATACACCGAGCTCATAATCAGTACTATTTAAATCATGAATAATGGCTGGCAACCAACCCCCTTGTTGGCTCAAATAAAATTTGATTCTGATATCCATATTTTGTCTCCACTTCCCTTGCTGTACCTCACATCTGATGGTTCTAAGTCTATCCCCATAATTAAGGATCCTATGGCTTATGTGCCTGGCTCTCTAGAGGTAGGACTGTCAGGCTACAGTTGACTTTAATGTTGTGTTGATCAAAGGTGGTGTCTGTGTCATGGGTCCCTAGAGAAAGTGGGGTGAGTTGTAGATGAACATCGGTGCATCTGGGACAGAAATGACTATCCAGTGTTTTCTTTCCCGTGTGGACGTGGACATCACTGCTTCAGCGATTTCCATCACTCTCAAAGACTTAGCAGCTGACCTGGGCAGGGAAGCAACACTGGCTGTTAATTAGACCATGATCTGCTTCTCTGAGATCATGAGTTTATGACAGACTCTGCAGTTTTCTGTCTTGTTCTGTATTTTTTTCTCCAACTGGTCTCTAAAAGCATGCACCAGTTTTGAGCCAATATTTTTTGAGAGTGGAAAGAGAAAGTGAGATTAAGACATTTTTCGAGTACAATATACGATTTATTTTCTATTTGAAGCTCACAAAACAAACAGCTGTCACTACCAATGGCTTCATATTTACTCAATTACTGTTTCTCAAAATATTTATGAGCAAATACTTCTTGTCAAGTGCTATCTCAGCCATGATCTTTTAGAAGAGAAAGTTCAAATCTGTAAAATACTTAAGGAAGTAGATACACACTTAACTATCATAACACTTAAGAGTTTGAGGTGGGGAAATTGTCGTGAGTTTAAGGCCATTCTAAGCTACATAGAGATCCTAGAACGGCCTCAGTCTCCATGTGAAACCCAGTCTCAAAGACCAGAAAAATTTTTGGTTAGAAACCTTTGACTTCTTTCTACAAGAAGCACTATCCATCCACTTCTTAAATTTATTTATTTGTAGATTTATGAAAGTAGATCCCCAGAGGGCTTTTTCATAGTTCCTCAGATTTGACCAATCCTCCCCCTCCTCTCTCTTATCCCCTAGTCCAGTGGTTCTGAACCTTGTGACTCCTTTGGGGGGGGGGGTTGAATGACCGTTTGACTGGGGTTGCCAAAGACTACTGGAAAGCACAGATATTTACATTAGGATTCATAACAGTAGCAAAATTACAGTAATGAAGTAGCAATGAAAATAATTTAATGGTTGGGGGTCACCACAACATGAGGAACTGTATTATAGGGTCACAGCATTAGAAAGGTTGAGAACCTCTGCTCTAACCCCTGACCCCCCCCCCCCCCCCCCCCNCCCCCCCCCCCCCCCCCCCCCCCCCCCCCGTTTAACCCTGTCTGCCCTCAGAGTTCCTTCCTTTCATTGGCATTTGTGTTCTACTATCTCCCCTCATCCCTTTCCTACCACACAGACAGTACCTTTATTTAACAAATCCCTAGGGATCATCAATCCCATCGCACCCCAGGCCTTCCTCTGTAGAGCCAGCGCCATTGTTAAGTCACATGACCCTAGATTCTTGCCCTTTGTGGACACTCCAGTTTAGCCACGCTAGTCTAAGAATCTGAAGTTAGGATCTGCATATGAGCGAGAACATTGGTATTTTCCTGAAAATTTCATTTATCACGGAGGGTTCTTTTTGCAATGGATAGCATTGATACAGAGGCCCCCAGCTAAACAAGGGATGAGAATAAGCAATGTGGAGTGTTCAGCCCTAAAGGAGTCATCTCCATCATCCTTCGCAAAGCTCTGGGGACCTCAAAGAAGAGGAAGCAGAAAGACCTAGAAGCTGGAGTAAGGAGAAGTTCAATGCCTTCTGGACGCCATGCCCATTAACTCACAGAGGCTGTGGTCACCTGCGTAAGAGATGTAAATGACTGTGCCTGTCACTATTTTATTACACAGGTAGAGGGCTTCATGAGGCGCCGCCTGCCACCATTTCCACCACCTAGAGTTGCCAGCAGCGTTCTGGCAGAATGCTTAGCCATGCCAGGTGCTGGCAATTTTAGTTCCATGGCCGAGCATGCACCATCAAGCGTTCAGGCAACTTACATAGCCACCCAGGGTCCTCAAGCTCTACGTGACCCAAGTACAGTATAGTCACTTACATAGTCACCTGATCTATGCGTGGCACAGCTGTGTAAGTCTCTGTGCACATGCAGTGGACAGTCTTTAAAAGCCGGGCACTCACCCTCTTCCTCCACCCCGTTTGAGACAGGCCTGCGCACCCTCCCCGCTTATCCTCCTCTCTTAATAGAGACTTGGAGTGGCTTCTGCTGTGTGTCTTGTGATCCATCCTCGTGCCCCGTAATTTTACCAACCCTCACGGAGATGCTGTGGACAGTTAGTTACGGGGAGCCGGTAGTGGGATAGTGGGCATTTCCTTCAATGGCTGGTTACCCCAGGTTCCAAAAACTAAGGTTTATGTAAGAAACCCCAATTACACTCAGTGGGTCAGAAACAAAAACAAAGGACATTGAAGTCGAAGAAGGTTGGAGATCACTAAAGCAGAAGAGAGGGTCACGGCAAACGGCCTGCTCAGCACTCCCGTCTACATGCTCAGATCAGTGCTTCTCTGAGAATTAATCCTCTGCCGCTTTTGGCAGCTGCTTAATACAGAGATTCACAGCTGATCAAAATGATGAGAAGAAGTGACTGTGGCGTGCCCCAAAGTCAGTGCTACACCTACGAAATTGTTAAAGAATGATAAGTAATAAAAGCAAAAATGTTTGCTTTTTAGCAACTTCCTGTATATCTTCTACAATCAAGGCAAAGCCAGTTTCATCAAAATATTGCTGATTAAATGATACCTCATACAGATGATAAAAATATCATTTTTCTATAATGGAAAAGCCATATGGTTCTGAAATCACCATATATTATTAACAGTATGTTTTAGCTCTTCGTCATCATGTGAAGAAAATACAAGTTGTTCAGTAAGGTGATTAGTACAATGGTTCTACCTGTTACTTATTGCAAGTTAAACTGTTTATGCTTAATCTATCTTATTTCCTCTCCTTTGTAAATGTGTCTTTAATGGAAGCCATGCCTCTCAGAGAAAGGAAAGGGATAAACTGCCAAATTTGCATCCTGTATTTTGACTTCCAGTGATATTAGCATAAACTTAGAGTTGCATAACAGAAAGCTTCCAGATGCCACTGCTTAGGTGACGGAGACACTGAGGCCTCTTCCGTGCTCAGCATCTGTGGAGCAGCTCCGCTTCTTAGCTATCTTTTCAGTAATTCAGTAGTAAACAGTGTTGTCGTAACACACAAGTTCCAAATCTGGAACACCACGAACTGCATGGGGAAAAGCCCACGAAGCCTCAACCCTACACAAAGAACTGCAAGCAAGTGAGGAAAACTGCTAGCAGGAGAGGTGGGCTCCACGTTAGAGCGCCCCGGCTGGTTGTCTAGTGCTAAGTGGTCAGTCCTGGAAACAACACTGCGCCGACACATGCATATTTAGAAATATACTTGGCTAGCCACGTATGCACGTGATAACAATTAGTGAAGGAGAGACCATACATTTGAAGGAGAGGGGGAGCTGTGTGAGGGGGTTTGGAGGAAGGGAAGGGAATAAATGCTGTAATTATTTTATAATCTCAAAAGTGAAACAAGAAGAAAGGAGCACACTCACACATTTCAAGGATCCACACCAGTGCCTGGCTGAGCTAGGCCACCAGAAGAGCCATTGAATGTGAGTTCTGACCGGGCAGCTGTGCACCCAGATGAAAAGACTAAGAAGGAAAACAAAGAAAGGGGATCTAAGGGACAACTGTTTCTCTCCAACCAGCTGGGTCTGCCCTGCAGCTTATATTTTGTTTTCAGTTTAGAGACGGATGCATGCGTATCTGTAATCAAATACAGATTGCTCTTTGCTTATAGTGACTAACTTAAAGTTTTTTTTTAACTTGACAAATGGCATGAAAGCTGTACACAGTCAATAAAAGCTTGGATTTTGACTTTTTTCTCAAGCTGGTAATGTGCTTTTTCTTATAGTGCTAGGCAGGGGAAGCCAGCTGCAACTCTTAGGAGTCTTGTAATCACAAGGTTGACAAAGGATTCTCCGGGTGGAGTGGTGTTTCTAAGCCACCACGTTTGATGTTCTGCAGGTTAAATTATGAAATGCGTTTTGACTTAGAAGAGTGTACTTTTATCCGGCTGGGGGGATACAAGCCTACCACAAGTTGAGACACATCCCACCAACAAATTATTACAACCTTTCCATGTGTTGGGTTTAAGAAAAGTGGGCATTGTGTATAAATTGTTTCTAATGTTTAGACATTTTTTAAAAGCCTTGTTATGACAATTTATATACAAAATAGAGGGTAGAATTTAGACTTTGATTTTTGCCATATGTTCAAAAATGTCCCAATTTTACATTTAATTTTGTTATAATTACACAGAGTTAAGAATAGATTTGGCCCCTAGGATTCTTGTGGAACATGTTTTAAATTATAAAAATGTACTAACCACCCCCATCCAGGAAGTGTTTACATTCTCATGTTTGATTTAGGCTTTTTACATACATTATTTCCCCGTGTCATAACAAGCAGGCACAGCCCATCCAGTTTAGTGCATTAGAACCCTGGGCTGCACAAGTTTAGGTAACTTGGCCAAGTGCCCAAGGGGAAAAGTTGGGACCGGACACCAGATCAGACTGAGTGTTTCTATTCATCATCTCTCTTAATCCTCTTCGCATCTCTTTAATGTACACAGCTGGGCTTTTTCTCATTTAATGGAGCATAGAAGTAAGGATCAAAAAGTTTAAGTAGTTTACAAAAAAAATACCCACAGTTATTAAGGAAGGAAGGGAGAGTTTCTGATGGTAAAGCTCTACACACTTTGAATAGCACTAGTCTTGCATTAGCTTAGCATTGTATTTACAACCCCACCCCATCCTCTCTAGGTTCAGATACGCCACTCCTTACAACACAGATACCTGCCCCTGCAAGTTTGCCCCTTCCTCAGAAGCTCAAACCAACAGGACCACCAGACCTTAGCCTGTGCCAGA